GCAACCTACGAGGATGACAGGAGTATTAGCCCACTTTGACAGATGAGGAAATTGGGACTCAAAGAAGATAAATGACCTGCCCAAAATCATCCACAGCAAGGAACTGCTCAACTCAGTTGTTTACTGAACACCTGTGATACACTAGCCACACTGCTGGATGCTGGAACACACAGATGAGACAAGGCCCCCGCCTTTCCGGGGGACCTTGCAGACAAGATGCAGAGCAGATGCAGATTCTACAGTAAAAGGCCATGAGAATTCAGGCTATGAGTTAAACTCCAAGAGCACCTTCCACTGTTCGCGCTGACTTCACCACACTCGAGTGGCCGCTCCTCTGAGCTGCTATAGGCTGCTGCCTGCTGGGGGTGTGGCTCTGCACCTCCTAACATGGGAGAGCGGAAAGCTTCCCAAATACTGAAGCCAGTGTTCAGGGCATCTGAATCTGCTCGGAAGCAGGGCTCCAGAACGGCCTCTCCCCTCCCATGTCAGTCCTCCTGGGCCCTCCTCACCCCCCAGGGAACCATGCTCCTAAGGCAACTTAACACCCCCCACGACATCAAGCACTGGTGTCTCCTGTGGGCTCTCCTGGGAGAAAAGGCTGAGGGATGGGAAAAGGTGGGTTAGAGAGAAGAGGTGGCGGAGACAAACTAGCTGCAAGATCTTCATGACAACTGCTCCAAAGGCAGCTCTCCTGGTCCCTGCGCCGCGGTAACTGGGCATCCCAGAAGAAGCCAGAGATGAAAAATGACCTTTGGAATCATGGAGGCCCAAGCGGTCTCCCCTATGGCCCCTTCCAACTTAGTAGATGAGTCCACGTGTGAGGGGTGACAGGAAGATGCACACCATCCCGCCTCGGGCAGGCCTTTGGCTTGCCCACAGGTGACCTCACAGCCAATAAGATCTAAGTGTGAAAAATCCAGATTTACAGAAAAGACACAGTAGTGAGTGGTTCTGTGCTTAAGAGAAGATGAACTGAGACCCTTCAGCAGTGCCATCGCCCCATCGCTTATTCAGTTCAACATAAACAACAACCTATCTCTGCACAAGGTGGCTGATTCCAATGCCGGGGGACGCAGAGAAGACACTGCAAGGACCCCAGCTGGAATCTGACTCACCCACAAACACGGGTGCATTTGAAAACCTTGAAATCAGTTGAGATTCACTCCCTAGTAAGCAAATACCTTTGAATCCTGCTCCTTCATTTCCCAATCTGGCCAGCGGGAACATTCTCTCACCCTTCCTTCCTAACTGGGTGGAACCACAGAATTCTGGCTGCTCTTGCGCCTCCTGCATTCCTAGGCAACAGTGTCAGAGCCTGGGAGCAGCCCCTCTGCACCCCCAAAGGCTTCCTGGACCCAGCAGACAAGAGTCTCAGAACCAGAGAGGGCTCACATGGTTACTTACTAGGCCGCCCTCCTAACTGTCAGAGCACAGGATGGGGATGTCGGATCTCTGACAGTCACGCCTCCCCTCCCACACACATCTGCAGTCAGACTCCACTTAATGCAATCAAACAGGGACAGGAGCTGCCCGCAGGGCTTGGACGTGCTGAGCACCCCTTTCCCCGCTCTACCCACCCCCTGGCGCACTAGGTTTCATTGAAAGGCCACCAGGCCTAATCTCATTAGGGGGACCAGACACAGCACACGTCCCACAGCCTGGAGGCAGAGAGCCTGGCCCAGCCATAGTCCTCCTTATCCGCAGTAGGGTTTTAATTGGGTTAGAAAAGATTGTGTTGGGGGCTAGATCTTTTCTTGATGGGTGAAGAGGGGAAACAACCAGTTGTCCAAGAATGTCTTCGAATGTGATGAACAAGAAGGCAAAATGAAACCCGAGCTGTTAGGTGGGCCACTTTCTTACCACCCACTCCCAAGAAGCCCCCAGGAAGAAAGCAGAGCATGAAGTCAGACACTGACCCCAGTTCCCCACTGTGTCCAGAGGCCCAGTGTCAGAGCTCAATACTTGTAGGGACTCACAAAAAATGTTTTGATTTCTGTTACAAACATAAGAAAAAACAAACTTCTAGGGTTGAAGGAAATATTTTACTTTTTAATCCAACCCAGATAATATTTGTCTTTATACCAATGCAGTTGTAAAATATAATTCTTATTGTTTTTTAATGGAGGAATAGGAAAGTCAGAATGCAGCCCTGGTCAGATGGATGTGATTTCAAAGCCCCACTGTTCATGACTGCGTGCACCTGCCCAACCGAGTGCCATCTCTGAGCCTGCTTCCTCATTGATAAGGTAGGGGGATGTTGAGATTCGCCTTACTGGCCTGTAGGAAAGATTAAGCAGGATAAATATGTACCAGTGCCTAGCACAGTGCCTGCCACACAGTAGGCATTCAATTAAATAGCAATCTAACAAACACTAAATCCGGTCCTAATAGCACCTTAGGAAGAGTCACACATCAGAAGCTATTGATACGTGAGGTTTGGGGGCCCAGAGAGCCAGATGGCAGCAGACAGCATGATGCCTGCTAATAAATCCACAAGCCCCTTCTGTCTACCATGAATCCCCTCAGTGGGCAGAAACCCCTGGATCTGGGGTGAATTCCTCCACCAAAGCCTTTTAGTGTTGCTGAACTGCTTTATATTAGAAGCTGCCCAAGCTCTGCCTGCCAAGGGAAGGTGGCAGGGGCTGGGAGCAGTGGGACAAGCAGAGCATTCCACTCAGGTCCCGAAGTTTCCTCCTACTTGGGGGCAGGGCTGTAGCAGCACTTTCTCCATATGGGGCTCCTGTTAGCATTTATGACTTGCCTGTATTTTCTGCCTCAATCCAATTTCACAAGAGAAATCAAGATATCTATGAGAAAGTAGCAAAGGTGTGTGTGTGTGTGTTTTCATTATCTATAAGAAAGTAGCAAAGGTGTGTGTGTGTGTGTGTGTGT